CATATGCATGTTAATCTCATCAGTCCCTTTCATTATGCAGAGGTAATTCTCTGCCATGGGAGTAGAATTGAATTTTAGGAATAGAGATGAGATTTGAATTTTAATTAAGCCAATGCTGCTTGCCACCCAATTTTACTAGAAGTTCCCACACCATAGTCCTTTACTAATCAAGCTACTTTCGGCGGTACTCCTGGTAATGAGTGTGAAATTGGCTGAATACAAGATGCCTTCTCCTAAGGTCTTCACACTTCAACTTGCCCGGAGTCACTAGGAATGCCTGTGTGTGTGCAGGTTCCTGAGTTCTGTGCCTGTAGGAGTGGATGGAGCCCAGTAATCTGCATTTTTAAGTCAGCACCTTAGATAATAATATTGCCCCAAATCAATAACCTCATATACAAAAAGGTGAATTCTGGAACACGACCTTTGTTCTTTCAGGCTTCTCAAATTCCTTGATTGCATGACATATCCTTCTAATACTTCTAAATACTGTTTCTCAAAGTTAAGACAAAGACTACCTGCACCAGAGTTTCCTAGGTGCATCAATGCAAAATTTCCAAGTTCTAGACTTCACTCAAAACCAAAAAAGTTGAATTTTTAAGGCTTAAACAGGAGAATCTGCATTTTAGCAAACCACAGATAAATAAGAACACACAGTAAAACTTTAGAATTACTGCCTTGGAAAAAGAACTTGCTGTAGATATAACAAAAAATGCCAGTTTTCTACCCATAGGCATAGTTTTGCTTAAAGAACTTTATATTTCAACTTTGCCAGGTCAATAACTTCGCTATGAATGATCTGAGGCCTGGAAGGTAGTAATGGACCAGTTAGCTCTCCAGGAACACCTTTTGGCCTTTTTGACTTATGCCCTAAGGGTCTTTGCAAAATTGCTGCAGACTATTGAGGGTTGCTCCCAAGTTACTTTTGGAACCAGGGAGGGAAGGTCCCTGAGCTATGGAGGTGGGATGTGACTGTGGGTCATGCAGCTGTGGTGGCAACGAGTAACAGCAGAAACTGATAAGTGAGACAAACCGCAGTCAAAACATTGACCCCAGTCCAGGACAAGATGACAACCCTTCCTACCACATTAGGATGACAGACAAAGCAGCAGCAGAGAGGTCTTCAGAAGTGAGTGAGGGGCAACGCCAGAAGAGGCAACCCTCATTTTACAGAGCGTATTCGCCAAAGCAGGTCCCCACCAAAGGTATAGGAGAAGGCCTTCATTTAAATTTGTGTGCAAGGGGCCTCCCTCGTGGCACAAGGGGTTAAATAGCAGCACTATGAGGCAATCTGCAGCCACTGCAGCGCGAGTTCGATCCCTGGTCAGAGAGCTAACCTACATGGCACAGCAGACCTCTCCTGTCTCACCTGCTGCTCCCCTTAGCAGTATATTCCAGTGGATCTTCCTGTTCTGCTCCCCACTCTGGTGAATCCTCTCACCCCTGCACCTCCAGCTTACACCCCAGCTCTTGTATGCATAAATAAATAAATATTAAAATAAACTTGTGTGCAATTAGGCAAACAGATAATCTGAAAATCATAATTAGAAGTCTAATTCTAAGTTTTCAATTTATCCCAGACATAATCAGACAGGGACATGCTGAGTGTGGAAGGACTTTGGAACTGGGAGGAAAGGACTTTGTTTAATAAAACACCCTGGTTAAAATGACCACTTATTCTACAATGAAGAAGGAACCAGGAACTGGTTTCAGAGCCTCTTTTATATTGTATTGTTTATTGTTCTTTCAATTTCTTTTGCTTGTTACACTGTAAACCATTTTTTTCCTTCCATAGTGCAGATTCAGATCATTCTCAATAAATCTTTTGATTATTTTCACTTTTCCAAAGAAAGAACCTTCCAGGTGGTGATGCATATTAGATAAGTAAATCCTCCTCAATGGGTACAAAAAAAGATTCCAGTTCCCAGAGTGCCATTGCTTCTCTGCAACAGCTTTCTCAATGAGTGAGCTCCGTCTTTTCATTGTGAAAGGAATAATATCACTCAACCCTGTAAATACATGTCCTCACACATTTGAAATGCCTAACCTCACAAACATTGTTGCTAAGATGATATTTTATTAAACTTTAATTTCAAGATTATGCACAGTTAAGCAGTTCTCCTTTGTAAAGAAGTTTCTATTGGAAATCAGTTGCAGAAGCCTTCTCTTCTTTGAGGCTGGCTGACCGCATTGCTGGGCAAACTGAATCAGTAGCAAGCCTGGTCAGACCCTGGGTTTTGCTGTCCTCACCACTGCTAATCTCATTTAGGCTCTATTTCCTTAGGAAGATATGCATGTTTTAGGTTTTATTTTATGCTCTGCCTGTTTGTTAAAAGGTTCTGAAGTGTCTGATGAAAGAAGACATACAAAAGGTGGACTTATTAGAATAAATAGAAGCTATATACTCTACATACAGAAAGCACCTTGCTGACCCAAAGGGCAGTCATTATTATGACTGAGTGGTCAGTTTAGCTGTAAACTTCCTCGAAGCCAAGGCACAGGATATAAGATGTGCTTCGTAAATCATTATCTAGAGAAAATACTTACCAATTCTTTCTAAGGCAGAAAAATATTTTTAATCAGCATTATTGAGAATTACATATAATCAACTCATCTACCATAATGTAGGTACATTGACAAATATGTGTCATAAGTATGCAACCATCCCTACAGACCACAAAATTTCTGTTATCCAAATTTAGTCCCCTCTGCCCCTTTACCAATCTCCTCCCCTTTACCAATCTCCTCCCCCAGTCCTCGGCCCTGGACGCTGCTTTGCTTTATGCCACTATATTTTTGCATTCGCTTTCATTTCATATAAGTGGCATCACACAATATAAGGTATTTTGTGTCCAGTTTCTTCTACTTAATGTAATGTTTTTGAGCCTTTTATAGGGGTGAGTTACAATTTGCATATCTGTTCATTAGTTGATGTATATTTTCCCTAATTTGAGTCTGTTTAAATAAAGTCACTGTGAATTTTCATACACAAGGGATGGTGTGGACATATGCTCCAGGTCTCCTGGGGAAATATCTGGGAGTTGCTTCACATATCAGAATTTTTCATTATAATGATTCTAGGGGGTGGCTAGTGTTATCTCTGTTTCTAATTTGCATTTCTCCAATGACTAATATAGTGGGCATGTTTTCATTTGCTTATTTGCCACTCATATATCTTTGGCAACATGTCTGTCAAATTTTTACACACTTTTATCAAGTTGCCTGCCTTTCTACTTTAAATTTGTTAGAATTTTATGTCTTCTACTGTCTACATATATTCAGGATCCAAGTTGGTTTTTTGTTGTTGTTGTTGGTTTATTTTTGTTGTTGTTATCAGATATGTGTTTTCAAATGCTTTCTTCCAGTTTTGACTTGTCTTTTCATTTCCTTAACAATGTCTCTTAAAGACACTGTTTTTTGATAAAGTGCAAATTTTGGATTTTTTTCTTGTGCTTTTTGTGTCCTAAGAAACCTTGCCTACTCCAAGGCACAAAGATTTTCCCCTATGTATTTTCTGGAAATTTTAGAGTTTCAGTTTTTACATTTAGGTCTGTAATCCACCCATTTTGTGTCATTTTTTGAATTTGGTGTGAGTTAAAGTTCAAGGTTTAGTTATATATCATTATTGTTATTATTTTATGGTCTAATTACAGTTTGTTGAAAAGACTAACTACAATATTATTGTGGGTATTTAGATCTCTGCATTGTCATATGAATTTTAGAATCAGTTCATCAAGCTCTACAGAAATAAAAATGTTCAAAAAATCTACACTTTCTATGGAAGACAATTTTCAAATGTCTTATAGATATTGCAATAACACCTTAAGCTGATAATGTTCCTTCTAGTCACTTCCCTCTCCACTCTACTCTAGTCCACTTCTGTCTGGCTAGCAGCTTAACTGTTGAAAATATTCCCTTTCATCGTGATGCCCTGCAGCGGAGAATATGTAAGTTCTTTATAAGAACCTGTGTGATACAGTAGAAAAAGTAAGATTTCAGAGGCATGTAATACTACTTATGATCTGGGTCTTCTTCCCCTAACTTTGACCTTCCTTCCCCTGATGTAAGGTCTATCCAGTCCTCAAGGTCAAGCTCAAAACCAGCTTCTACCACTAAACAGTTCTTGACCAACCCCAGCCTACAAGTCTTTTCTTCCCAGATTTTCAAGAATCTCCTGCAGCAGTAGAATCCAGTCTGATCTGAAAAATCCATTTTCAATTCTAAACATAATTCAGATGGCATAGGAATGAGATGTCTGACAAGGAATAACATATGAACAAATTGTAACTAAAATAAGAAGAAATGTACAAGCAAACCATAAATGTCTTAGGGACAAAAAAAAAATAAGATTGGGTAGAATAGAGAACACATCAGATGTCCTCTGGTGGGCACCAACCACATCTGTGTGCTTCTATAAAAAGAAGTGGAAAAAGCAATCTCCAAGCCATAGACAGCTTGGAGCAGGACGAGCAGAATTTAGTAGCCAAGCAGAGATGCTACCTGATGTGGAAAATGTGTTCCAGGAAGCCTGTTTTCACATTCTTGGTCCATTTCTTATATTCTTGAGTTTGGGAGGAAATTTTGGGATTTTAGAATGTCCAAGTGGATGTGAAAGAACTTTTAAATCAACATGTAGTGGGTAAGAGCTATCAGCAGGTGGCACAAAATAAGAAAGGTCACTGACTTTTTTTTTTTTCCATATCATTTCCTTCGATTTTCTCTTAATTTCAGACTATCCTTATTTGGGTAAAATGAAATCGTCTAGAATAAAAGAAATCTGAACAAAATATGGACTGTAGCTACTAATCATGATTTATATTGACTCAGCAATTATACAATATACCATAAAATCTCAAAAATTTTCTGTAAATTAAAAACTGCTCTAGCAAAAGAGTAGTTTTGTTTTGTTTTGTTTTGTTTTGTTTTTAAGGGAATGCTGCTATCTGGACATGTCTGGGACACCTGGGTTATACAAACTTCAGTGACTCCTCAATTTTTCACAGCTCCAGTTATGTTTACCTTCATATATCTGAAGACAAATAGAAACAGTGAGATGAAGAATTACCTTTGTGGTGTGCCCTGCAGGGAAGCAGCTTGGCGAGAAGAATGCGGTGGAGCTACATGGTACATGCCAGACGGTGGCACATAATTTATGACAATTTCCTTGTTTATTTTTAAAGCAACTGACTTGCTTCTGAAAGAGTGAAAAAAATTGAGTTTCTCTCCTCTATTAGTTTAGTATGTCCTTGAAGGTGTAAGTCAGGCCTTTTCATTCTTTTTGATAGCATGTAGTAGCTTGCACACAGTTGGTCTATAACTACTAGACATAGTAGTAGGTCTGCATCTACTAGGAGATTGTATAACTAGAGGTACTGATGAACACTGGTCCATCCATACATCCATTATTAGGAGATTTATAATAGTCCATTTAGATTCTTCTCATTTAAATATAACAAGTGCCTGTTACATCTTCTAAAAATTAACTGCTATTAAAATTACTAAGGCAATTAAGTCTGCATCATGCATTCATCATATTGAAAGAGCTTTTCTACCCAGAAGAAAATAAAAGGTTTTCAGTTCAACAAGCAAAAACCATATTTTGAAAGATTAATTTCCATCTTTTTGACATCCTTGTCACTCAAAGCCAGAAAACTTGATTTAGGGGCTTCAAACTCTGTCACTTAGAACAAATTTCAAGCTGTGGAAGTCTATGCAAAATTTCAGTGGTAATGTTTCCCTAGCCAAGTTACTGCGGCCTTTAAAATAGAATTTGAGGCAGAGACTCTGGCAGGTTCTAAATGTAGCAGATTGAATATTGATGTAATGTCAAAAGAACTTCATAATTAAAGGTGTTTCTTTATAGCATCTCCCTTCATCCATTCATTAAGTCAACAAACATTTATTAAGCACTACCTCCATGCCAGGCACTGCATTAGCAAGGGTTTTCTGTTTCGTGAATGAATGAATGAATGAATGAAGATATGCCTGCCAAATCTGCATTACTGCATTGCTCCAGAGTCTTTCGAGGGTAGTGTTTATGAAGGGAAAGTGAAACTCCAAAAAAACCTCAGTCTTCAAAATGCTTCTTTTCCCTTTACATTCTCCATTGCTTCCAAAATTCAACCCAGAAAAAGGGCTGGGCTGTCTTATTCTGAACTCTTACCTTGCTCCCCTTCTCTGCTTGGGTTCTCCCTCTGGTACTGATAGGGCTTCCTGTTTCCATCTTTTAGATGCTGTTTATACGTCAAGCCCACCATTTGGAGGGACATGACACTCACTCTCACGACCTAGTCTCTGTGTGTTTTTTTTCATTGTGGCTGTTTATTAGTTTAAACTTTATGGTATGAATAACTTAGAACATACAAAGCTTAAACAAAATAGTATAATAAACCTTCTTCACACATCCCCCAAAAACCATGAATCCAGAGCCAATCCCACCCCATTCACAGACCCCTCCTCTACTCCATCCTTATGTTATTTTGAAACAAATCCTTGACATGTTTTTAATTGTCCTAGACTTAATGACATAGAAACTGATGGTAAAATCTAGGTTTCTGAAGGGGAAAAGGAAATGAAATAACTTGAAAAAATTTTCTTTTACTTATGGCAGGATAATGCGAAGAAATGAAAGGATAAACAAAATCACCAGCTTGAGAAGGTAAACAGTCCTAGGAACGGCAAGCTCCAGGGACTAGAAAGCGGTGTGAATGGCCTGGCTTATCTTTTTCTCTTTCCATCTCTTATCCCTGCATCTATCTCTTTATTGACTTAGCCAAGCTTCCAACACATTGACTGCCTCCCACACAGAGGGGCCATGACCTGTACCTCTGAACTTCCTCCGCAGGGAAAGGCAGTCATCCCTGCCAATCTCAGTCTGGAAAGCCCTGGGGAGTATTCTGATTGGTTCAGCTCGAGTCATGTGCTCTTCCATGGAACGGGATACTCGGATTGATACAGATTTGACCATTCCCCCCACCCAGCACCCTCCTGTGCTGGGACTAACTGGATGGAGTGAGAAGAAAGAAAGGGGGAGACAAAGATAACAATCACAGAAAGGAAAAAATATCTAACCTTGATTGTGCCTCTAGTCTGTAATTGGAAGTATCATAATCTACATCAACTACAAAGGCCTACAAGGTAAATTATTTGAATTTTTGAATGAAAAAGGGAAACTCAGAGAAGTTATGCAACTTCCCCAGCCTTTGGCTCCTTTTTCATCCTGCCATTTCCATCCTTACTTATGCCATTCCCGAGTTATTATATTTAAAGTACATGATGAGGATGTATTGAATAAAGAGGGCATTTCAAGAGAAAGAACACACTTGATTTCAATCACTGTGAACCAGAGACACATAAGACAATGTGAATCATATGTCTTTGGCTAATTTTCTTAACTTTCTCGTGCCTCAGTTTCCTGGTGTGTAAAGTCATAATTATATTCAGGTTTGTTGCCAGGACTCACAAAAGGATTGTGTGTGTGTGTGTGTGTGTACATACACACTATATATACAACTATGTATACATACACTATATATGTACGTGTGTATGCACATATATATTAAGTGCCTTGCACAGTTCCTGACTGATAGTATGAAATAAATAGCTGGTTGCAGTTATTAGTGTTGCTACTATAACCCAAGGCTCTCAGTGAATACAAAGAGATGATTATTGAAAGTAAAAAAAAAAATTCAGGGTCACCACAAGCTGGATGAGTTACTGTGATTGTGAAATGAAAACACCTTGCCTTTATTATTTCTTGAAAGGTAAGGTCCAAAAAATACAAAGGTGGTTTGTTCTTTCCCATATCAACTGAATACACTTTCCCTCCAAACCAGGAATTTACTGAAAAATAAACCAAGGAAGGTAATGAGGTTACTAAAAAAGGAAAAATTTGAAAGCACTAAAAAGTCACTGAGCTAGAAAGTGATATGTTTGAGTGGTTTTGTCAAATGAGGGTAGTAGATACCCTTCCCATTTCTGGTTTTGGTTGAAAGGGAAGTCAATAAAATTGCCTGAAAGAGCAAAACTGTTTCAGTGAATGGTTCTAGCCTTCTAAACCTAACATCTAATGATATGACAATAGCGTCTCGATTTGCTGAAGACCAGGCAGCTACAACTGCTGCTACAGCTGAAAAAGATTGACAGTGAACATGAAAGACAATTGTGAATAAATTCCAGCCTAGGAATAGATTCAGCTCTCTAAATAAAATTGTCACTGCCTCAATTTGCAGCCTGCCAAACACGCTTCTTGTTATGAAGGATACTACTTACTCTAGAAGGGGATCATATAAGAAAGGTTCTGAGAAATTTAGGGTTGCAGAATGCAGAATTTTCCTACAGCCCCATAGTAGTGATGTTTGTGGAGCCAGAAAACATCAGGTTATAGGAAGCTATGAAAACACCTTGTGAGGTGTATGTGAGGTCCCTTTGCACTCTGCAAATCATTATACTGTCCCAAACAGATGAGTTTGATCATCTCTGGTCTCAGCCAGATAAAATGCCAATAGTTTCCTTGGCAACCCGAGCCACAAACAAGTAGAAAATCTAGTAAGGGTGGTTGGGTAAAGTAGGATGCTTTATATTTCCGGTAGTGCCTGGCTGCCTCCCTCTATTTTGCTACCTGAGGAAGGTCATAGAAGCAGTAGAGAATCAGCAATGAGGAGCCCTGCTGTGCAAACCACAGAGGCGTCCTTTTAGCAAAGAGTCATTCTCTGTTTTCACAATGTTGAAACTGCCCAAAGGCATCATTAGAAAAAATCTATAAGCACTTGAGAGCAAGAATTATATAGTTCATTCATAATTTTATCCCTGGGGTCTATTACCCTGCCAAGAACCAAGAAACACTCAGTGAACACAGACTGAATGGGTACTTGAATGAAAGACACGCATATGATAAGAGTCCAATTCTAAACAGGCCCAGAAGATCAGAAGCAGGTGTTTTCAGTGTTTGTCAGTCTGACATGCCAAAATCTGAAATAAATCTCCATTTCCTATACCAGAGTGACAGGTTAAAGTTGGAAAATCGGAGGGAGCACAATAACCAAATGTGGGAACTCCACAAGAGGGTCTAGATCAGGAAGGGGCTGTCCCAGTTCATCTGGATGTCCTTTGTCCATCTAGTGTCCACCCACTGCATCTACCTATACAAGTACTCGCTCTCCGCCCAATTGACTGTCCATCTGTCTGTCCACCCTGATGATTTGTGCTGAAACTAAGACTCTTACTTACTCATTCAAAGTGTTTTGCTTACTAACCCCATGATCTCTGTGAAGTCTTTAGTCTCTTGTTCAGACAAGAATTATCAAATCCTATCCAGATCTGAGATTCTCAAGGGAGCAAATAGCTTTACACTTGGTAGGTTTGGGCAGGTAGGTCTTGATTCCATGCAGACGTTCACTGCTTCTCATATAATGAGGAATTTGAGGGCAATGGACTAAGCTCCAGGGTAAGGGCGGGGATGTGAGGGTGAAGGTACGGGAGAGAGTCCGGATCAACCTTGCAGACTCTGCTTATTTTGACCTAATCCCTCACCTTTCTGGTTATTCTCAGTCCTTTCTCTTTTGTTTCTCCTTTGACATCACCCAGGTTCCCAATCTCCAAGCTGAGTCCTACCAGAGACTTGGCTGTCCCCACGCTGCATAGTTAAATGACTTCTCTTACCTTTCAAGTTTCCCTGATCATGGCTTTAATCCCCCCTGGGCTGCGTGGGCTAACAGCACCATGCCACCCCAACTTAGGGAACTCATGATAGCCCTGAAATGGGGCTGTCTGTCTTCCAAATCTGTGTTGGCCCATGGTCCATTGGGTGGTCAAGTGCTAACCAAGACTCAATGATATCAGATTTCATTATGAATTGGGGGGGCCAAACACACACTCCGCCAGTCCCTTTATTCAATCATGACATTACCAACAATTACTTTGAAAGTTTTATTATGGAAAATGTCAAACATACATAAATGTAGAATGGGATAATGAACTCCTATGCACCCATCAGACAGCTTCATAATTACTTTTTCAGTTTATGACTATAAAAATAGTTGCAT